GTTTATTCCCTGGTATGCATGAGTTTCTTTGAGAATGGTCAAATCCGTGGAAAATCAAAGATCCTTGAATTGCTCACTATGGGTCCAATTAACCCCTCAAAAGACCTGTAATTCCCTGTGCCGTCTATTACACTACTTATCGCTTCTGTAATGCCCCTTCAATGTCCTTGCAATAAACAAACTCTCATTACACCTCCCACTACTCGTTTACGTCCGTTCTGTTTGTTTTATCTGGGATTATGAAAGGTGGATCTTAACTGGTTACTTTCAGAACCGGACTTCAGAGTACGACTTCCTAAAGTAGAAACCAGGGTATCTATCGGAGGACGTTGCTCTGCGTTTTCGCGACTCGAAGACGGCCTTCATTGTTGCAGCTAAAAAATGTTTGCGCGCGCTCTTCGTGCTGAAACAAGAAGTCGTGCGAAAGACGACATCAAGCGTGTTCACAATTCTACAGAAAAGGTCACTAAGTGGTACGTTCGGGCCCAACAGACATTTTGTTTCATTCCTTTCTACACATTTGTTCATTCCACCACAACAGTCTCCTGTAATTAATTTCTGCCATCATTTCAGTTACGAGATACGAGACAAAGTGCCCCCGTAATGCTTGTATCTTGCCTCTGGATTGACTTTCGTGGGCGCTTAATTCTTTATTTTGGGTAGCCCGTAGATAATTGCGTCGTATTTAATCCTCATTTGCTACTCAGACATCTAGACCTTGTACTTGGCCCATTGGTGCTTTCTATCTGTGACACTTACTACCGCCGGTGTGTTTTCTACCTCAATTTTCAGCTTGCTTTCTAACGTGCTAGTCAGATCCTCCACTCTCCTAGTCCTTAGTTCAAGGTTCTTCTTCCCTTCGGAGTGCAAACCTACTGTCTATTCGCTTACCCTTTTCCGACTCGTGGAGCAGTGTACTTCTTCATCAGCTGCATATTTGATGGTGTCGGAGACCAAGAAAGATATTAGCCTTGCATTCTCGAGTTCACTTTGTTAATCCATGTCTTGCATGTTGTCAGTAACCAACAACACTCATTGGAAATTACTTCTGCACGTTTGCTTAATGGTGTCACCCTCAGCTAAATCTTATGTGCAGGACTTCGAAGCACCGTTAAAATGGTGCTATCTAAGAACACAATACATTTATCGAAGGAATGCTCTACTGAGGGTATGTTTCCGTTTTTTTGGGTTACACCTACTGATTAAAGTAAATTTCTAGAATACTTAACATCTGAGCACGTGTTTGAGTCCTCGTTATGTACACGCTATCCATTGCTCTTGCCTTTCTGTACATCTTTTGACACCCCCTTATCGAGGCCTTTTTACCAAGTACCTAATTCAGGGTTGCTCGTACTCCCTAAATAAACCATGCAATACATGGTAGTCCGACAATTGCAAGCAATGATGTTCACGACTGCCCCACGAGCTGAGTGCAGTCGGAAATTTCGCATCAGCTTATTTACAGCGAAGCCAACTTGCGCTATCCCACCCGCTATTCCAACGCCTATCTTGCTGCGATGGCAAGACAGTCTTGGCGGCTGAAGGTGGACGTGGGCTCAATGGCTCGCAAAGCTGGACGGCTCGTATACGCGTGGCACGCATGACCTAGTACCGGGCGTCGTTCAGGGGAGGTCTCAGATCTCGCTGAAATGAGAGCGTCATAAGGTTCATATTAAGAGGGATCCATTGCATCCTAATCCTCAGTCCGGAGGAGAACCGAGTTAGTGGCTCCACACAAGCGCTGATTCCTCTCTCACCACACGACCAGACTTCGTACGATATTTCGCTCGTCATGCAACACCGGCATATTGCATCAGGTGATTGTTGCATGCGCGACGTATGTTGCCTTACTGGTCCTTGGCATATTTACGCGTCCATTAGGATAAACCATACATTGTCGAAGTGTGTTTATGCGTGTGCATGGAGTGAGACGACGAAGGGGAGACCTGGAACCTGCTGTTTTATTTGTAACTATCATGTATGTGCATATGGCGATGTCTGAATATCTTGGGACAGCGTCGGCAAATAAGACGGACATGACGGCTGTTGGTTGGGACTTTTGGCTCTGAGTCCCGCGTTGCGCTACGATAGATTCGTCAATGGCCGACCGGACCAGTGTGTAACTCGAATGTGAGATTTTTGACTGTACATGGCCAGTGACGAGTGGCAACTTCTTTCCAAGGCTTCGGAGGTCGGGATTCTCTCCTCTCACTTCATATTTGCCCTTTGGAGCAGTAACGGTAATGAGAGTGGGTTATATTCCCTTGCCTGACTTTAGTACACAGTCCACGGCCCTGTGCATTCTCAGTTTTGGGTTCTAAAGGGTACCAAAGGCCCCGCTGTTTTCTGAGCTCCGGTTCGCAATTTCGACCTCCCTTGCTCATGATGCCCTTTCAGACTTCACTCTTCGCGTAGGCGAATTCGCACGCAATTGTGAGCCGTGTTCTATTGGCACTCAACATGAGTTCGTTGCGTTATCCAGCTGTCTACGACCGGTACACGATCACTGTTTTCTCCCTGCAACCGTTATGCCGAATTTTGAGCAACTGCAGGCAAAGAGAACCACGCTCTGCTGCGTGTCCACGTTTGTGGTGCCCAGCCTGCAGTCTTCCTCAAGTAGGTCGCAGACCCCTTGATTACTTCAATGTCTGCTTACGTTCGTTGAATATGGAGTAGATACCCATTGGTTCTGTAATTGATATTGGTTGGAGGACACTCCTTCTGGGTAGGTCTTCGCTAACGTGTTGGTAGACGAGAGGCTGGAAAGGATTAGGTCGGCAATACTATTCTACAAATCACCGTTTGTTCTTGTCAATGCCTCTGAAACAGACCCACTGTGTCAGGCGTCATCATGCCATCGTGGAATTGTCTCACCGTTCACGTAGACCGTTCCAAACATCTGCTGTCGCCACCAGTTTTCACAGTCCACCACGGTTCATGGTGCCAAAAGCATTGCCACTTTCTTCAGACTGACAGTCCGCCAAGGCCAGGTTTGTCGTCTCATACCGTCTAGAACTCTACGTTGTATCTTTGGAGGAGGGGAACTCTACCACAGGCGTGTATTTATTTTGGCGAGTGGTTAGCACGTGGGCGAATATCTCGTCTTCAATGCTGATGAGGGAAACGGTTGCAAACCTGGTAGTTTCACTGCTGGCGTTCTGAAGTCTTTTGGCCCTTCTCCTCTCCCCATCTCCTGACTTAGCGAGGCAAGCCTATTTGTAAGTTGCAAGTCACTGCATTCGTGGACTTCTGCTAGGATGTAATCCGCGCTCGAACGTCTTCCACTAGGTATCCGTTGCAGCGCGTTGATCGCATCCCTTGGACAGGTTGGCGATCAGAATCAGCATTTGGCGTAGTTTCTGGGAGTGAGTGGATGCCTGAGAATCCCCCTCAAGTGCCCGGTTAGGCGCTCCAGAATCCGCAATGCCTCCTTCTTCTGTCCGAGTTGATTGACTGTGAAGTCTTGTTTGGTTGAAGACCACATTCTACTTTGCGACAATGGAAAAGGTTTTTGTCCCGTCGCAGATTGCTTATCCATAGATTTATTCTGCCATATCAGTCAGTTAGTCTGTTCCCGTCTCTGTCAGTTTTTGCTGCGCTCGATGTCGAAACTCAGAAGAGTACGGCTTTATTGACGTTTGCCCTGCCGTTGGCATTGGTTTGTGTTACCTGTTGTCCTTTAAAAGGACAGGCGATATTTACTGATATTGGTCGATATTGATCGAAATATTGTCCGTTTTAAACTTTCTGCTGCTCTGCGGGCATTACCATACTTAAGAATTAATTGACTATTATTTGCGCGCATTTTCAGTAGGTGGGCTAACTCATGAAATGTCGACCGAAATTCCGAAATACGTTTTCGTTTCGGAAAGATAAATTAAGTAGAGCTGTTAAACGAATCATTAAGCAGCGTAATTCCACAATAATTCAGTTGCCCCAGGATGCTGGCTTCCGAACGAACTTCTTTCCGGCTGCATGCAAAAACTACACCCTGTAAAAGATGAATGCGTAAGTAGCATGCATTTTTCTCATTGATTTTCGATTATATTTCAGTTATATTTCATGGAAAACACGCATAAAAATAGTCATTCCTTTGCTCATTCGGTAGCAAATCACGTCTTCTTTCGACTTTATGCTCGAAAGAAGGGTATAATTCGGTTTTAAAAAAGTTTCTAATAGTGAGATTTTTTAATACCTTGAAATGGCCGTTCACAAAACGCCATGTCCATGCATTTACCAATGTGGCATGCAAAGTTTACAATATGGCTCAAATCCACTGCCAAATTTTGTGAACTCCATATGGTCTCCTCTTAATATCGTAGAGTAAAGTATGGTTTTCCGTACGCGAAAAATATACGGCTTGTAGTTTGGGAGCGCTGAATGCAAGTGTAACGGCAAGTCAGGTTCAAAATTATTCGAGAATTTGAGAAGTTTTTGAAAATCAAATTATACTCCTTCAAGTATAAAATTGGAGGGAGACGTTATTTTCTACTAAATGAACAGAAGAATGCATATTTTTATGCATGTTTTCCATAAAATATAGTTGAATGTTTTGGTGAATCGAAAATCAATGAGAAAAACACATGCTACACAAGGGGTCATTTTTACAGATTATAGTTTTGCATGCAGCCGGACGGAAGTTCATTCGAATGCCGGCATCCTGAGGTAACTGAATGATTATAGAATTATGCTGCTTAATGATTCGTCTTACAACCCTACTTACTTAATCTTTTCGAAACGAAAACTCATTTCGGAATTTCGATTGGCATTTTGTAAGTTAGCCATACTACTGTATCTTGCTCCACCCACTACCATTTTGCGCTGTTCCGGCGACCAAGTTGATCATAGCATTCCTCACCCGCGCATAGTCCATCACGGACGTACTTCATCTCTGAATATCCAGTCTTGCTACTTTCACCGAGTTCTATTGTTAACCAACTGTTGTGATTTGTCTGCAATACAGGGAGAAGAAATGGGTGCCCGTAAAGGACACCTCAATGATGGTTTTCAAGTGGGTACCGGTCCCCGAGGATCACGCTAAGAAGAGTGCCTTTTGTCGTCCCCAGCCGAATCCCCTTTCATCAAACAGTGGTAGTATTTTGCCGAACGCGACGAAACCGCCTGAACTGCGCACGGAGGCTCCTCTACCAGCTATCACAACTACCACTGTCGCCTCCACTGCAGTGCGCGAAGAAGCCTCAGTCTCTGAAAGTAAAGAGCCAATGGATACCTCTGAGGACAAAGGTTTGGCTCTCTTTGGCGATTATTTCTCTAAGTCTGCATATATTCTCTTTCCAGTACATCTCCTCTATCAAAGGCAATGCACTTCTTTTTGACTTCTTGCAGAAACCACACTCGGTATAAAATGACTACTTAAGTATCATGCATTTCTTCTATTGATTTTCAATGGTCTTATAAATTTAAATGTATTTTATAGAGAACATGCATAAAAAGTATGCGTTCTTCTGCTCATTTGGTAGGAAATCACATTGTCTTCATATTTTATGCCCGAAGAAAGTGTATATTTGGGTTTTAAAAAGTTTTTAATTATGTGATTTTTAAGACCGTGCGATGTCCATGCATGCAAGACTGCACATGTCCGTTTGCCAATGCTCCTCATGAAATGTACAAAATAGTCCGGATCCATTGCAAAATTTAATGAACTCTATGTGGTATCTTCTTATAGGCATATAGGAATATATGATTTTCCTTACGCGGAAACCATGCACCTTGTAGACTGAAATTGCTAAACGCTGATGCAATGGCAGATCCGGCTGAAAATTATTCGGGATCTGAGGCACTTCTTTAAAACCTAAATACACACTTTTTCGGGCATAAAATATGAAGACAATGTAATTTCCTACTAAATGAGCAAAATAGCACATACTTTTGTGCATGTTCTCTATAAAATACATTTAAATTTATAACACTATCGAAAATCAATAGGAAAAATGCATGCTACTTAAGTAGTCATTTTATACCGAGTGTGGTTTCTGCAGGAGGTCAAAAAGGAAGGCATTTAAAACCCGACATCCTGGCGAATCCGAAATGTTATAGGGTTGTGCTGCATGTTACTCAGTGTAACAAGCCCACTTAAGTAATCCTTCCTAATCGGAAACGCATTCCAGAATTTTGGCCAACATTTCATGAGATCGGTCACGCACCGTATATTCTCTTTCCAGTACATCTCTTCTATCAAAGACAATCAGGGCTTATAGGCATTACCGCCACTGCCACCATATGTGTTTTACAAAGTAGTCGGTTTCGACTTTATCTACGCCAACCAAGCTCCGCTGATGGTGCTATTGACGAATATGCGATGACAGTGGCCCGCTTGATGTTTCAGATTTAGACGTTTTCCCTGGAGGTAGCCGAGTGGCGGACTGAATAACCGCACATAGTTCCGACTGCTGATCTCGGACTGTTGATGGACTTTGAGGTCGTCTACTCCCCAACCGTGTCTCAAATTCCACACTTGCCTGGCAGTGAGGTTGTTCAGACTGAAACATAACACAATTTGACCATTTTTGATAACGAGGCCTAGTCCTTACTGCTTATGCGAACTGCTGTTGTCGCGCTATCATTGTGCACTTCCCAAAAAACCATATAGGCTGTTATCATGCCTAGTTTAACCAGCTGGGAGGATATGGCAGATAGTGTCCCACTACCCACGAAACCTACAACAGTAGCTCCGGTGAGCACGAGCCGCCCTCCTCTCCGAGTCAGACTAAGTTTTTTGTCTGAACTGCGGTTTCCTACAGGCAAGCAGCGTCGAACTTTTGGAGCCGGACGACGACAAGGTCCAAACAACGTCAGCCGTCTTTCTTGTATTACCTGGGATATCCTGACGGTATTATCACAGCGTGTGTGGATCGTATCATTCGGGGCGAGGTTAGTATACTGCGCTGGAAGTGCTGTCCCCAGATCCTAAATCTCCGACCTCCTCTCACAACCGTAGTCGAGTCCTTAGAAGCGCGTGATAAAAGGCTTTTAAATCGGCATCGTGTAGTTATCTAACATGCTTCGGCAGAGAGGCCTTAAGCAAGTGTGTATATCTGATGTCGATTGTAGCCTTTTTAAATACCTCTTGACTGGGGACCTCTTGGGGTGTCGGTCTAATATTTCCAACCACCCAGTGGTCCAGCACAACGAAACCAGCAAGCCTCCCCTTTCAAAGGAAAGCCTCACTGCACTTTTTCTCGCCAATTCTAGACTATCCTTCGCAGAATGCTTTCGTCTTTGTCGAAAGTTAGCCTGAAAGTGCTATACCATAATTCCAAAATATTCGTCAACTTTATCCTGCTTTACCGGTCCGAGTTATGAGTTCCGCTGGTGGAGTACTTCAAAAAGCCAAAACTTTTCGACCGCTACTAACTTTGAACTCGACAATGCATCCGGCTGCTTAAACATGTCCGAAATACTTATACATGAAAGGTCTGATACAGTGCTCGCTGAGGTGTTGCGTACAGACGAAATCGTTGCGTGGCTAAATGATATCACGCAGTATGCTGCCGCCAACACCGCAAATAATGGGGTCTTCGTAACTCCGTCGTTTTTGTGTTTTGCCCAACCCCATAGATGACTAAGACTAGGTTTGTAAGTGCCGATAGTTCCGTTCTGCGAACGCCTGAATAGTAGCATTGTTTCTCACTTAGCTCCCCCGGTGGAAGCGAACAAGCCGTGTGATGTTCCGCCCGCCGTCAGCGAGACTACCGCAACCCCAGAGGTTCGTGAATATCCGAATGGAATGCCCTCTGAAAATGAAGCTCCAGGTAAATGTCGGTTGCTTTGTCTCAATCCATCACTGCTTTATGGCGCATTGCTCTTCTCCTGCCGACCAACCTCATCGAACCAAAACATGATTACTTTAAAGAAACAAGTAGCCATATTTCAGAAATTATTCGCCTGGCTAAATGGCCTAATGACTTTCCTATGGACCCGAGCGGGCAAGACCTCGTTTTCTTCGCACTACAATGTACTTGGCAAGCTTTCCCACACTATTCCTTTTAATCAATAGCATCTGCTTCCCGAAAGGAGCATTTGCCGTTATCTTCACATGGTGACTGCGGTGTTTAGGATGAGTATGAGTTGTCTTTTTGGTCTGTCTTTTAGAGGCTAAAAAGACGTGTGAAGCTGAGAAGGAGGAAGACTCTACACAGCCCTCCGAAGCCTCTAACACACCTGCTGAAAATTCCGATGTGACCTCTGCCAGGACCTCTTAAAAACCCGTGAACACTGTCTATTCGTTCTCTGTCCCTCTTGTACATCGTACATTTTTCAATT